TAGAAAAAATCTAAATTTGAAAACTTAACAAAAATCAAACAAATGATCACTTTTATATTCATGAGCATATATGGCTAGCATAAACAAAGGATAAATCGATAAACCTGTAACTGAACCTGGCATGGAACGAATCCAACAACAAAAAATGTCAAGTTTGACAATCCTCAAAATATCATTTTAAATAAAGAAAATATAAACAAACGCAGATGTAGTAGATGTGAACAAACAAATAATAATGCTCCAGAGGTAAAAAATGTGCATATTCAAATGCAAGCATATGAAACGAATAGTACATGACATTCAATCAAGTCACTTAAACATAAGAATGAATTCTTTTGTTTCGTTTTCAATAATTTCTATTGGGAGATCATCTCCACTATCTAAATTGCTTAAAATTCTGTAAAACAGTGGTATAATATAGACTGCATAGGCATTATGTTTAAATGAAGTATAAATAAACCTACCTAGCCTCCTTTGCATGAACTTCTGTAGCATGTTCTCTTTTTGATTACTTGGCAAAAATTAAGTAGCAGTAGCATTCCTTCTAATCACAGTTTTATTACTGACTAAAATTCAAAATGCTTCGAACATATTTTAAAATTTTCTTTGTGTGATCTTCCAATACTTTTTATCTAACCTAAAACAGATAAAAATTAATAAATATAATTTATAACTACATGCTGGTTATGAAACACATTTAATCTGGTAACTTACACATTAATGAATGATTTTGGTTAGTTTTCAATAATTTCTTTTGGTAGATCTTCTAAAGCCAGCACTATTAGAACTGCTTAAAATTCTATTAAAAAATGGTTTGAAAAGTTTACTAAAAAAAAGAAGGCTTCATTATAAATAGTGTTAGCATGCATATAGGGTATTACCTATATTTAAATGAAATAGAAATAAAACTTACCTAGCATCCTTTGGTGACATTTTCTGTTCATGAGCTTCTGGAACATGTTCTTTTTTTTATTACTTGGCCAAAATAAAGTAGGAGTGGCATTCTTTTTAATCACAGTTTTATCACTGACTAAAATTCAAATAAGAAATGCTTGAACGATTTTGAAATATTTCCTTGGCATACATTTTCTTTATAGGAGCTTCCATTACATTAAGCCTTTTTTTTCTAACCTAAAAGACAAATAAAAACGAATAATTATATATAACTAGACAAGGTTTTTATTAGAACCCCAGTATGGATACTGGGCTAGAACAATAATTAAATACCTAATTGATTCATCCAAAAATAATTGTTAAATACGGGTCTGTATTGGTGTTAAAAACTTACTTATGACAAGTTCTTCGGAATTATTTCATCGGTTTGGACAGAATAAAACTAAACATGTTTTAACCATTGTTTATAGAAGTCTTTAGGACGTCTTTAGGGATCAAAATAACTTTCCAAAACTCACAAAAACTTTAAAAATCGTACAAAAATTGCTAAAAATTACAACAATCACAAGACAACTAAATGTCAAATGTCACAATATTCTAACTAATGCGCAGACTCAAATCCTCCCCCGCATTTACGCTATCGTAAACGTTTTTGCTTGCCACCCGGGCAGCCATTTTCCTATCTCCCCTCTTCATGTCTATGGTTTCTATTCGAAAGTAAGAGAAACAGTCAATATAAAATGCGAAAAACACTTTTTATCAATTTCGTTTATGTCAAGTGAAAGCGACAATTGCTGAAGACGTAACAAATAAATAAGGTCAAGAAATAAAAAAATCTATACTATAAATAACATACCATATATTATGCCTGTTAAAATAAATCAAAAATAAGAGATCATATCGTTGACGTATATACTTTTCCATCTGTATTTAGTGATTACCAATTGCAAATTACGTATGAACATGCTTCTGCGCAAAAAAAACCATTATTTCAAGTACTTGTATCATGAAAGTCCATTAAATTATTATTTTTATAAATTTGCTAATCTTTGCACTTTAAGTTTCATTATATGGGGTATCCAGACATTTTAATCCTCGTCCTCTTCTATTTAAAATTATCTCAGGTGCCATATATTCCGAGTAAAATTTTTCTAATTTTTCAATCATATTTAAAAAAAAAATGGGTTGAAAATGAATTTTTTCAACAAATAGTGAATTTTCATCTCCAGTATATACTACAAAGTAGCACAATTTTCTTTGAGCTATACCTAGCTGTCCTTGAATCTAAAAGTATATAAAATCATTATTAGAAAATCAAACATAAAAAGAATATTAATATTGTAGTATTATTTCTAGCACATTTCTTAAAAATCATGAATTATTTTAACATATTGAAATTTTTCACCTGGTAAAAGTAGTTATGGTTTTCTTTTAAATGAATGTCACCATCTTCTATTTTTAAGCATGGAAATGGGTTTGAATATTAGGTAATGTGCGCCAATAATGTCAAATTATGACAATTCGCAGAAAACGTCAACTTTTTATTTAGATTTTAATGTGCAAAAGCCTACCTACTTTGGATATTGATAGTAGAAAAAATATATTCAGAATAATGAAACATTATTATTAAATAACAAGTTTTTTTATTGTCAAATTTAATACGTAATATTATTTTTTAATTGCAAATATTTGAATGTTAAAATTATAGCGTTTAATTTTTTTATTCAATGATGAACTCGAGAGTGATAGAAAAAAAATACTACCTACCTTTAATGCAGGAAGTCGATGTCAATTTATCCAAAAATAAAACTGATTAAAATATACAATGAAACTCACTAGGACACTTGGCACAAATAAATCAATTTTCTATTAAAGAAAATAACACTTATTAAAAACAAACAGCACAATAAAACACTTCAGAAACGTGTAATGTAATTTTGAAAACTAAATACCCGTAAGCTTGATTGTAAATTTATAGACTCTTAACTCCTTCCCCCAGCCTTCATTAAGTATATTAAAAGTCGTGACGTCATATTGGCACAGATATACGGTAATGTGTTATTGACAATCAGGGACATGTTTCTAGGAAATAACTAGATAAGATAAGATAAATGAATGTTAAATACCTACTCATAATATCTATTGTAGGGTTTTTGTACTTTAATAGGATAAATATTTATGCGAGCCTGGAAATTCCAGGAAATGACAGTCAAAATTACCCAAAAACATTAGGTTAGTATCAACATCAGATAACAGATAACCAATTAATCACAATTAACATTCTTGAACATTCAAATGACAAATACTTCCATCTTTAACCAATGAGAATATAGTTTTCATTCGATACTTCAAAATCACAATTTATTAATTAGGTAGAATAGTTTTAATATATATTGCGAATTGCGACACGTCAAGCGTCCCACTCCGACTCAATGTGACGCAATTATTGTGGCAATATATTTTGAAACGACTCTATATTCGTGACTTGATATTATAAACATCCCTCGTATTACTACTCGTATATAAACCAAATTATTTGTTTTAGGAAATATTTATATTTAATGTGAGTCAAGATATCGTTTTTGTTGTTAACCATCGCATACCTACCTACATTCTTTACTTTGGTCCAGGAAACAAAGTCAATTTTCGATAAAAATAAAATGTAACAGGTAGGTAATACTTTATGAAACAGTACAATAAAAGTATTGAAATAAAGTATGCTCATACTCCAAAATGAGTCCTAGAGTTAACATTTTTATAATATTATAAATGGCATATAAAACGATTGAACCGTTTTCACAATTGCGAAATATTTTTTTTTATTTGGTAAAATCCCGGCAATTATTGAAAAATAGATTTTATGTTCAGGACTATTATTAGGATCCTTCGAACTCAGTCTACTAAAAACCGGTTTATAATACAATATAATACAATATCCCCTAATAGCTAGTCGGTCGATATTTATAGTTACTTAAAGATTTCTGTAATAATTTGCACTAATTCAATCTCTAGTCGGTAGGTAACAGCACCTCCTTGATTGAATCTAAATTGACATAATTTTGTTCAGAAATTCCTAGGAGACGCTGTCCTTAAGGTACATATTAGTTAGTTACTCCGTATACTATCACATTTTTCTACTCTTTTATACTATTCGATTTCAAAAATGTATACCTGAGGTGTACATTGAATCGTCTGGAAGTTGCATTTCTTGAGCTTTTGTTTACGTTCTTTCTTTCTTTCCCTTTCTGTCTATTTTTTTTCTTTCTCTTCTCACCTTTAAAATTATGGATAATTTTCATTGAAATTATTTAATATTCATTTAATTATTATTAGTACCCAACCATAGCGCGCGAACGTATCCTCCAGTCAGTTTTTTTTTATTTCAATTTTTTGACTGCGCGAACTGAGTCCATTCGCCAAACCACATAGATTATATTGTTCTAATTTTATACCATATTTAAAGGATAATGCCCTCACCCTAAATAATTTTATTTCAGTAAAGTTCACAGTTGAGAATGTTTGAGCGGACCAGTGGAAGACAACAAAAGCTCGCCATCTCTTAGCTGGATCGCTTGGGCCGTCCGCGCTCAACACCTCACCTCCCGCGGCTTACAACATAAACAAATAAAACATAATTATATTGAAGTTTGGCAACGTTCTTCGCATCGAATTGTGCTAGCAGTCTCTTTTGGCGGCGATATAAACTAACGAAATATTATTCTATCACAGATAGAACCCTGTAACTTTAATAAATTGTATACTAAATTTGATTCGACAGGTAGAGCCATCTCTAGAGTCAGAAACGAGTGAGGAGGTGGGTCCATATAAACCTTAAAGTGACCCTTCTTTTCTTGTTTATGTTCGGTGCTCCTGCAAATATGTATAATGTTGCTAAAATCGCCGAAAATCGGGCAAACATTTTCCTGCCTTCTGTTATCGCTTTTTTCGTACGGCATTAGGTCGTAGTTGTTGTTAAATTTGGTAATATTGATTTATAAGTAATTCATGCCGAGTAAAATGACCTCTTGAAAGTTTTCCATGGTGTAAAGTAATTTTCGAAACAAAAATAAATATAATTTGAAAGGTAAAATTAAAATACTTTTCAGCGGAATCCGTGAAATGTATAAGATGCAGCAGCACAGATTACAATTCGCCATGTCGTCTAGGAACTGATGAAACATTATATGAATGTCCTTCCGACGAACAGTCTTGTTATGCAGAATATTTCTACGGTGGAAGCAAACCCCTTTACCGTAGGGGGTGCTCAAATTCTAACTGGTGCGAATATCAGAAAAATCAGCATGGTGATGATTTTAAATATTGCAAAACTTGTGATGGAGAAAAATGCAATACTGCTACAATTGGCGGCCCAGACAGTGAGTATTTTTTAGAGAGGTACAACTACAGTTAGTTCTCCAAAAATTGATTGTTGGTTTGTACAAATCGCGTTTTAATTTTGATGTGGATTGAAATAAAATTATTTTCAGGTTCGCAAATACAATGCTATACATGTTCATCCGAAGATATTTATAGTGATTGTAAGAAAGGAGGTATCGACAATAAAATACAGCTATGTGAAAAAGGAATAAAGAAGTGTTTTAATGAATATATCGCAACATCTAAAAGGGAAATTTGGACCAGAGGCTGTGCAAGAGACGATTATTGTTCATCGCAAGAAAGCAAATATGGCCAGTCGCTACAATTTTGCAAATATTGCCATGATGATTTGTGCAATACATAAAAATGATGAATTTAAAAGTAAATAAATTATTTCTTTACCAAACTTTTAAAAAATGTATTAATGCACTAATAAAATAAAAAAAAATATTTTATTTTATTTTTTTTATCTGACTTCTACACGTCAAACGACGCTCTTATTATTGGTTTTTACTAATAAGATAAATTAATATCAAAGATAAATAATTATTATATGTTTTTTAAGCTATTGCATAGCTTTTATCGCGGGCTTTAAGCGCGGCGACCGAATCAAGAAATTCCGTAACGAAAAAAAACCTAACACCCCCCACTCCGACCGGCACAGCCAGCGGTGCGGCGTTAAACAATATTAACTGAATAAATCGAAAAATCGAAAAATCAAAAAATCGAAAAATCGAAAAATCGAAAATTTAAAAATTTAAAAAATCGAAAAATCGAAAAATCAAAAAATCGAAAAATCAAAAAATCGAAAAATCGAAAAATCGAAAAATCGAAAAATCGAAAAATCGAAAAATCAAAAAATCGAAAAATCGAAAAATCGAAAAATCGAAAAATCGAAAAATCGAAAAATCGAAAAATCGAAAAATCGAAAAATCGAAAAATCGAAAAATCGAAAAATCGAAAAATCGAAAAATCGAAAAATCGAAAAATCGAAAAATCGAAAAATCGAAAAATCGAAAAATCGAAAAATCGAAAAATCGAAAAATCGAAAAATCGAAAAATCGAAATATCGAAAAATCGAAATATCGAAAAATCGAAAAATCGAAAAATCGAAAAATCGAAAAATCAAAAAATCGAAAAATCGAAAAATCGAAATATCGAAAAATCGAAAAATCGAAAAATCGAAAATTCGAAAAATCGAAAAATCGAAAAATCGAAAAATCGAAAAATCGAAAAATCGAAAAATCGAAAAATCAAAAAATCAAAAAATCGAAAAATCGAAAAATCGAAAAATCGAAAAATCGAAAAATCGAAAAATCGAAAAATCGAAAAATCGAAAAATCGAAAAATCGAAAAATCGAAAAATCGAAAAATCGAAAAATCGAAAAATCGAAAAATCGAAAAATCGAAAAATCGAAAAATCGAAAAATCGAAAAATCGAAAAATCGAAAAATCGAAAAATCGAAAAATCGAAAAATCGAAAAATCGAAAAATCGAAAAATCGAAAAATCGAAAAATCGAAAAATCGAAAAATCGAAAAATCGAAAAATCGAAATATCGAAAAATCAAAAAATCGAAAAATCAAAAAATCGAAAAATCGAAAAATCGAAAAATCGAAAAATCGAAATATCGAAAAATCGAAAAATCGAAAAATCGAAAAATCGAAAAATCGAAAAATCGAAAAATCGAAAAATCGAAAAATCGAAAAATCGAAAAATCGAAAAATCAAAAAATCGAAAAATCAAAAAATCGAAAAATCGAAAAATCGAAAAATCGAAAAATCGAAAAATCGAAAAATCGAAATATCGAAAAATCGAAAAATCGAAAAATCGAAAAATCGAAATATCGAAAAATCGAAAAATCGAAAAATCGAAAAATCGAAATATCGAAAAATCGAAAAATCGAAAAATCGAAAAATCGAAAAATCAAAAAATCGAAAAATCAAAAAATCGAAAAATCGAAAAATCGAAAAATCGAAAAATCGAAAAATCAAAAAATCGAAAAATCGAAAAATCGAAGAATCGAAAAATCGAAAAATCGAAACATCGAAAAATCGAAAAATCGAAATCGAAGTGAAGTGAAGCTTAATTTTTATTGGAAAACTGTATTATGCTTCGATTATTGCTTAATGACTAGGAGTACGAATAAGAGAAGCTTAAAATGGCTTTTTTATTGAAAAACTCACATTAGGCTTTGCTTATTTCTTAACAATTAGCAATCTAGTTAATTAAAAAACATAGGTATATTTAATAAAAAATAATTATTGTCAATTTTTGTGGTTTATAAAAAATATAGGTAGTAATAGGTATTTGAAAATAAAATGTATGTTGTATTAAAAAGTACTTAGTTACTTATATGTTTTCTTTTTCTGCAACAGAGGCTTCATGGTTTAGATCATCACTGAAAAATTAAAAATTTTGAACAACTAACCCACAAGAAAGTGCAGGGTTCTTTATCTTTTACATTCATCTTCTTCTGGGGCCTTAGTAAATCTTAATGGCAATGCACCTGGAATTAATCTGGTTCTTCCTCCGCATCCAGTTTTTGACATAAATATATATCCAGAAAAATGATTGGAACATAAAACATCACTATTTGAAATGTTTTCTAGTTTCAATATGTTTCACCAAATGCGTTTTTCGGCAGGATTAGTTGGAAACCTACAAAAAAAAAAAAAATTATTGATTTAACATCTTTAACATTATCATGATAAAATGACTTAAAAACGAAAAGCTCGTTTACATTGAAAAATTATGATTAATTTTTTTTAACTTTTATATAAGAGTCCAAAATCTAAAACAATATTCTTCATACATAATACAAGTTCTTTAAATTTAATTCACTAAATTTACCATTTATTTTAAATTCATGTTTAACGGCCTTTTTCATAAAATGTAAATACTTATGTTTCTTTTAAAAAAATGGTAGAGACGCTAATGGTTACTTACAGTTCATCAAATTTCTAGAGGTGTTCGACGCCCAGACAGAGAACGCGCTACGTGTGACTAAGATAGCTATTGTACAGTCTGCTAAACAAGGTATTTTAAATAGTTTTTAATATTTTTAGGTAATTAAATTTTAAAAGTGTGGAATAGTTTAGGGATTAAATTGGTCTGATTGGACTTTCTTAGAACGTTTTTAAAAGCAGCTAAAGATAGTATGTAGAATTGAAAATAATTATTATGCCATAAAAGTTGTTTTGGAATTCCTTCAACCTTTTGAAATTGAGTCAGAAAATATAAATTTTATAGGATAGCGGAAAATACCTATAATTTTTTTGTAGGCCTTTGTAAATCGTGGAAATAGTTTATATTTTATTTCTACCTTATTAAGGAAAATGGTACCTATTATTAATAACGGTTGTTTCTGAAACATTACTAAAATTTTCGAAATTTTGTTTTTCTACAAAATAATAAACTATACTATTTAGAAAAAAATTTATTTCTCTTATAATTTTATAAAAAATAACGGGAATATTTACATTTCTTGATCTATTAAACAAAACGATAAATTATCTCGACGAATGACACCATGTTCTAGTACGGAAGCTAGCTATACATTTTTCTTGGTGGTTTCATGGGTTTCATATCAATTTTTTGTAATTGTAGTTTACACGTACATATACCTCTTACCACTTGTTTGCTTTATTAAAAAAGTGTGTTGTTGTGATTTACGTCGAAATAAGTCAAAAACAACTTGAAACCCCATATAAAATCAAAAAGGAGAAACGGAAAAAAATTGAGCCTGTAAATGAACACAACTCAGAAACAAAAATAGCTATCTAATAATAAAAAAATAAAATTTGATTCTTGTGCATCTTCGTTGTAAAAATAGATAATACTTTTTTGATCTTAGGTATAGATATAATTTTAATGGTCTTCCGAAAAACTTTCTTCAGTTTCCATATCAGATTCAAAATCAGTCTCACTGTCACTGTTTAAGTTAATTATAAATCTATCAGTTGCCTCATCCAAAGTAACTTCTCTGTCATAAAATTTAGATTCCCACATTTTAGCATTATTACAACGAGATTGCCACTCCTCTTTAGAAAACGTATCAAAAAAGTCTTCACAAAACAGTTGTACGTCTTGCCTCTTAAATGTAGTGTTGTTACTGGCTACATATTGTTTCAATGATGCCCACACTAATTCGATCGGATTAAGATCGGGATGATACGGTGGCAAACGCAAACAACTAAAACCATGTTCATTTATCATTTCTTCAATTGCATACCTCTTAAATCGTGACTTATGCAATAGCACTAAACTGTATATTTGCGTTTTGAGCATATCCTCTTCGTAAGCAATATTATGATTCCTTAACCAATCCTGCATGTCAGCTTTTTTAGAAGTTGACGTTGGTGCTTTATTTACCTGGACATTATGGTAAGGAGCATTATCAACAATAATGACGCTTCTTGGAGGGAGGTTCGGAAACAGCTTTTCTTTCAACCATTTAGAAAAATTATTAAAATTAATTTCATCGTGGTAGTCTCCACTTTTGGTTCCAGATTTGAAAATTAACCGGGCATTCGGAATAAAGCCCATTTCACCTCCTGCATGGACAATAATTAGTCTATCACCTTTATTAATTGGTTCCTTTAATCCCTCATTTGAATTATCACTCCAAGCTTTCTGGTGTGTGTGGGAGGCATGAATGTATGTTTCATCTAAGTAGACAATTGGACGGCCCTCTGCTCGATAACTTTTTAAACGAATCAGATAGTCTAAACGTAGCTTTTGAATATCAAACCTTTCCATTAATATTTTTCTGTTTGTTTTTGTTTTCCGCCAACGAAATCCTAGCGACTTTATTATTTTTCTTAAACTTTCATAGCTTCCATTGTACCCTGTAGCTTCTCTAAATTTAATCAGAATTGTTTTTAATGTTGGAACAATATTTTCCGAGATTAACATGAACAGAATAATTCTTTTTAAAATACCTTTGTCAGCTTCATCTATATCATTAACAGTTTTTGGTTTTTTAATGGTTTTTCTTGGTGATGAAAATTCCGATATCCCACGGTTATCGATTCTTTTTTTCTCTCCAGAAATGCGGACGACAGTGTTTTTAGATACTCCTGTGGCTGCAGCAACACGATCATTTACATTTTTAAATGGTATTGAAGGTGAATTAAAGATTCCTTCTCTTCTCATATACTCTTTAACATTGGCTATTATTTCGCGAGATTGACTGTTAATCACGCGGCCTCTTAATTTGCTATTAAACTCCATACTTAGGTTCTATTAAACTGTAATGAGCAAAAAACACAAACGAAAATAAAAGAAATGTTTTAGCGAAATTTACATCTGACATTTACGTCTGAATAAAATAGTGAAATACTTGATGCGCAGAGTGTACTTTCATTGCGTAAATCCGTCGGCCCCGCCAACCGATGCCTC